GCTAGAGCCAAGCACGGGCCTGATAGAACACAAACCAGTACCCAGCGCCCAGCGCAGTCCCCGACAGCAGCTCGGCCGCGCCGTGGAAGTAGCGTGCGGTGGCAAACAGCATGAACACCCACACGGCAACCAGAGCCAGCGTCGCCGCCAGCACGGCGCGGCGGACGGCGGCCAGCGCCGGCGGCTGGCGAGGGACAGTAACCGCCGCCGCCGCCGCCAGCAACGGCGCCACGGCCTCTTCGGCCAGGAACAGCGCCGAATGCAGCAGAAGGAAGCAGTGGCCAGAGATGTCGTGGCCGCCGGTCCAGCGGCCACCGGCGGATCGGCAGGCGTGCAGCGAGGACAGAGCGGCGACGGCGGCGTCGGGGGCGGGCGGCTGGCACTCGCCGCCGGTGCGCACAAAGACGCGGTCAAAGAGCGGCGGGCCAAAGAACCAGCGCGCCATGGCCAGCCAATAGAGCGTGGCCAGCGCATAGCGCAGCGCGGCGGCGGCGGAGGCGGCGGGCGTGCGTGTCGGGGCGCGCACGGCGGCAGCGGCGGCAAACAGCGCGGACGTCCAGGCCCAAGCGACCTTGGCGCCGTGCGTGTTGAGCACGCTGCGCTTGGCGGCCCACCACGGGGCGGCGTCGGGGGAGCGGGCGGCAAAGCCGAGCGCAATGACGGCCAGCAGCGGCGCCAGCACAAGCGCGGCGGCGCGGGAACGGGCTGTGGAATTCTGCATGGCAAACTCGGAAGAGACAAAGAGAGAATGGCCGCGCCAAGGCGGCGCCGGCGCTGAAATCGGCGAGCCGAGCCGGCGCACGCGGCGCGCCACGTGGGCGGCCGGCGAGTGATCGGGTGATTGCCCGCGCGCCGGAGTCCGAGAATAGGCGAGCCGCGTGCGCCGGGGGAGCGCTGCGGCGATCGCTCCCTGCCTTGGCCCCGCGAGGCGCTGCGGCATTTTGCGGCTCATATAACAAGGCCGCGCCGTCCGCGCCTCCGCGCCGCATGGGCGCTTTCTCTTCCCAGCCCTCCTTTTCCCCTGGCCCGCCAAAGACTCCTCCCGCACCATGGCCTCCCCGCAGCCCGACCCGCAGCTCGCGCCGGCGCTGGCGCAGTGGTCCGTCGACGACGTGTGCCGCTGGGCGCAGGCGCAGCCGCTGATAGCCGCCGTGGCGCCGGTGCTGCGCGACCACGCCGTCGACGGCCACGTCCTGGTCAACTACGTCACCAACGCCGTGCTGGCCGACGAGCTGGGCATTGCCGCGTTCGGCACGCGCGTCCACGTCCTCGAGGCCATCGAGGCGCTGCGGTGGAGCCACGGCATCCGCGCGCGCCCGCCGCCGCCGCGCGCGTCGCACAGCCCGCGCCTGTCCAGCTCGCCCGAGTCGGCGCCGTCGTCCAAGGACGAGTCGCCCGACATCGACGGCGCCGCGCCGTCCAAGCGCTCGGCCTCGCGCATTGCCGACGCCGAGAAGAAGCGCCAGAAGCGCGCCGCGCTCAAGAAGAACCCCGTGCTGTACGCCGAGTACCTGCAGAAGGAGCGCGAGCGCAACGCCCGCCGCCGCGCGCGCCTGCGTGCCGAGCGCGGCCGCTCCGACTCGGGCGGCGCGCCCAACGATGCGCCCAGCGACGCTGCGTCCAAGCACGCCCCCGGCAGTAGCGCAAATGACTTTGCGCACGCCACCGCTGCGCCGCCCGCCTACGCCCCGTACGCCGCCGATCCGCTGCCCAAGCAGGCCGTCTACATCCGCCACCCGCTGCAGCCGCCGCCCCACAACCTGCGCCGCGGCCCCGACGCTGCGCACCCCGACGCCCACGTCGCCTAACCCATACACGTATCAATTAGCTCATAGCTGTAAATATACCCCAGCCTTATCGCCGCCGCGCCGGTTACCCCCGCCTTTGCCTTTGTAACCCTGGCCGGCGATCCCCCCTCAATTTCTGCGCTCCCCCGCGCTCTCACACTCGCCGTGCCCGGTGATCGGCAGAATCCCGCATGCCCGCCGGCGCTGCAGCCCCGAACCCGGCCTGCCCCCATCCCGGATGCGTGGGGCTGGCCGGGGGCTGCCCGCGCCATGCCGGCGGGCTGCCCCCCGGCCGCCGCCAACGTTGACTACCTGCTTTTACTGGGTGGAATTAAAGTATTCTATGTAATAATCACGCCCGGCCGGGTCATCGGCTCAAACAGCACCAGAAACCCCGCCAGCCCGGCCCCAAACGCCAGCCAGATAAAGTACTTGTGCCCCGGATGCTGCGCCGCCTTCGACACGTCCGGCAGGCCCTGCACGTTGCAGAACACATGTGCGGCTATCGGGCCCGCGATGCTCCTGGTGCGCACGAACAGCCCCGCCGCAATCCACCCAAACACCGTCGTGTACGCCAGCTGCACCAGCGTGCCCAGGGCCACCGCCGCCAGCGAGCCCTCGCCACGGGCGTACAGCGACCCCGCCCGGTGCACGTGCGCGACGCCAAAGATGACCGGCGATGCAAACACGCACAGCGCTGTCGACAGCCCGGCCGCCGCCCACAGCGGCACCACCGCCGCCCGGAACACCAGCTCCTCGGCGACCGGCCCCACCACGTAGTTGCGCATCCACGTCGGCTGGTTCCACAGTGTCGCCGGCACGCGCCGCACGTCGTCCCACGCAATGCCGCCCTCCAGATGCCCCACCACCAGCGGCCCCAGGAACAGCACGCCCATCAGCACCAGCGACACAATCAGCGACGGCAGCGCCATGTGCACGTCGAGTCCGAGCTGCGCGGCGATACGTGACTTTGCATCCGCCTTGTCGTCCTGCCAGCGCCAGAGCACCGCGCCCGTGGCCACCAGCGACAGCGCCGTCGACAGCGTGACCCCGCGCATCCGCTGCTTGATAATGTGCGGGTGGTCGCGGTCGTGTATGGTCGCCGAAGCTGCCGGGAACAGCGCCATGAATATGTAGATGCTGGCCACAAACAGCACGCCGTGGCCCAGCGACAGCAGCACGGCCAGCGTGCCGGGCTCCATTTCTAACAGCAGTTAACGGGGAAAAAATACACAGAAAGTTGCTGCTCTCTAGCGCCAGACGATCGTCGCGCGGCCTCAATGCCTCCCCGCTTGCTGGTTTACCCACGCAGTATGGGATGTTGCTTTATTGTGCCTATAAACTTTTTCTCTACTCGGCAAAGCGCCGCGTCCCGCTGGCGTACTGCGGGTCCGCCTCGAGCACGGTGCGGTTGTGCGCAAACATCCGGTTCAGCACGCCCTGTCGCTGCATCACGCCAAGCTCCGTCTGCGCCTCGCTCAGCGCCCCCTCGATCGCCACCGCGTCCGTCAGCCTGCTCGCCGCGTGGAACCGGTCGCGCGTGCGCCGGTAAAAGTACTTGCGGAAGTTGTACGTCTCAAACTGCTGCGCTGCCCGCAGCGAGCTGCGGTACAGGCGAATTACCTCAGCGCGTCCTACGCTCATTTTCTGCTGACTGCTCTCTAATGCGCTTACTAAATACTGGTGCTTGGAGAGAAATTGAGCAGCATAAAAAGAGAAGCATCTGCCGCTGGCTGGGGCGCACCGACACGCCAACGCCGAATCAGCGGATCACCGGCGGTAAAAAGTTAAAAAAGATAAAAATTGTAGCACCTCTAAGTTTCGATCTTAGGACCTCGGGGTTATGAGCCCCGCGCGCTTCCGCTGCGCCAAGGTGCTTTGGTGAGAAGACAAGCTGAATTGCTTGCTTGTTGCAACTAAGAATTTAGTTACCTATACAAATCTAAGACATTACTTTGGCACAATGGCTGGGCTTATTTAGCGGCTTACATGCTGGTTATGCAGAATCGGGAGGCAGCGGTGAGAATGTGTACTATTCAGATGTTGTCTATTGTTCTAATGAGTGACTTGCTGTCCTGCCTCATGACGGCGGGCATATCCTCCGATGCTGCAGCGACGCTCGTTAATCACATCCCCCCAAAGCCTATGGCGGAATGGCGGTGGCTGCAGCACTCGAGCGGCATTGCTGCCGTGCTGCAGCTGCCTACAAAAAGTGCGCGCATTGGTAGTAATAATAAAAGGGGGCCGGTGACACGGGCTTACGTCCCTCTCTTCGGGCTTTTCCTACTTCGCAAAGTATTTGCTTGAATTAGACAAAGGAAAGGAACGTGGCGATTTCCACACCACATCGGACTGCGGGTGATCTGAGGATCGTGAATAAATTAATTTCTAGCGACATGCTGTTCGGAAACATTAATCCCGGTGGTTCAAATCCCCGGTGCAAAGAAACTACGAATCTACAATTGCTTGCTGTGATCGTCTGCCCATTTGCGAACGCGCGAGCAGCACTCTACCTCGATGCTTTCGGGGATTTACTACCTGCGTCCTTCAACGACGGGCTTGTCTAATGCCCGTTCTTTTAAAGATAATATCGTACAGCATGCGCTCTGCAGCTCTAGGTGGGACGCGAGTGACACCCGCAGATGTCTGCTTGTTATTGGCGCTGGATATGAATAATGAAAACATTTGATGCAGCAGCCTTCGCTCGCAAAGCCCACCCAAAGTTGGAGATGAAAGCACTAATCCCTTTCCGACCTTTTTTTTCTACCACCAAGGCGCCCGTGGCTGGTTTGCTCGTCAAAGCCACAGGCCTGCCGGCATTGCAGACGATCGAAGCTGCTACCATGTTGCGAAAGCAATAAATGAGCCGATATGGTTCCTCAGCCAAAGGGCGTGTCAGGCACGCAACAAAGGACCCCCAGCGCAGAAGCGCGATGAAAATAGGACGAGTAGGATCCGAGTTAAAAATTCAAGCCAAGCGCGAACGTAATAAACGTCTCTCCGAATTATGCGCAACCCGGAGACAATGCCATTTTCTGCATATATAAACCAATGCGACCTTCGTATCTCGAGCTGGCTGCCACAAAAGATATCCCAGCGTCCGTCAAAAACTTCCTTCCACCACTAGCTGCTTTGCCCTGACCTGCCCTATCGATGAATTCCATGCGTTTGCTATCGCAGGGACTGCCTCCATCGTCGCTTGGCGAACTAAGGGCGCACCCAATATGTTCCAGCTCGTCACTCAGCAGCACGTCCACCCTCACCGACAACAGCGACTTTCAATCCCCGCTGTTTGAGTGGTCAGACAATGTGGCATCGCCTGTGCCTGACTTTGCTTCCGCGCCAGTCATGCCTTACGAATACACGGTTCCCGCACCATCCTTTCTTCAGCACAATGCCCTGCTTCCCAACATGGGTGTCGACGTGCAACTCAACGGTCTGACCATTGATGTCGCTTTGCAGAACATGCTCCAGGCCGTTCCTTTCAACACCGGTCTTTCTGGGCTTTGCGTGAATGCATCATACCATGAAGATGCTGGGGTGCCATCGCTGCCATATTACGACGATTCACCAGCAGCCAAGGCCGACCCGTGTCTTTTCGGCAAGCGCCTAGACCGCAGGGGTGGGGTGTTTGTTCCATCCGACCTTTCCATTGCCGCAATCCAGTCATTCCAAGCCGAGGCTGCCAAGGCAGCTTCCAAGTCCACTGGACGCATAGACGTGCGGTCAAGGTCCAAGCTTCACAGACGCGCGCCACTTTCGAGAGTCGACGCAAACAAGAGCAGCTCCCGAAGCTATAGCGAGCACGTCAATACAATTTTGTATGAGTGGCTCAGGGAGCATGAAGATGATCCGTACGCGAGCCCACAAGAGAAGAAACGGCTGATGGGGGAGACTGGCCTGAGCAAAATGCAGCTGAAAAACTGGTTTTGTAACGTTCGGCGGCGGAAGCTCCCCCACACCATTAAGCGCCCAAAGATGCCTGTGAGCGTTCCGAAACGGGGCAGCGTTCGCCGCCATTTGGCCCGCTAGCCATGTGTAGCTGATAGGCCTATATTTTATTCTTTTTAGCATCAGCACGCAATTTACCTGTATTAAATCAGATGTCAGTCGTTGCCGCGTACCAAATGTAATGTGACGCGCTTAATATATTATGTATCGAGCCGGCTGGCTTGTTGCTGAATATTAATTCAACCACAGACCATTGTCTTGGCACCTCGCCACAGCAAAAGCTTACCTCGAGCCTGTTGCTGCATAAACTGCGTGGTCCACATGTGAATGGAGACAGATTTGACGTAGTTGGCGGTACCACCACTGAATATACGCTGCGACGGCAAAATAACTCTGCTTGTATAAATGCGCACTTTGTCCCTTTGCCAATGTCTACGCTGCCTGTTCTGCAAAATCCCTTAGCGCTCTGTACTTTATTCTAACCTAATCGCTTGTCATTGCAATGTGGTTTCTCATTCTTTCAATTGCTGCGCTGGGCGCAATGGGCTTTGACATTTCGTGCAACTCCAACATGGCGGTGTACTGGGGCCAGAATAGCGGCGCTTCAGGCAGCCTCCCGTACCAGAAGCCGTTGGGTGCGTACTGCGACGATGACAATGTAGACATTATACTTTTGTCGTTTCTCTACATCCTCAAGGGCAAGGGCGGATATCCAGTGCTCAACTTTGCCAACATCTGCGACTACACCAAGAACTCGTCGGTTCCGGTCTTTCCCGACACCGAACTGATGCACTGCTCAGATATGGGCGTCGACATCAAGCGCTGCCAGGAAAAAGGAAAAATTGTTTTGCTCTCCATTGGCGGTGCAACGGCGCAGCTCAACTCGGACGCCGAGACCTTCTCCAAGCAGGTCTGGGATCTGTTTATGGAGGGAAATTCGACGTATCGACCGTTTGACGACGCTATTATTGACGGCGTTGATCTCGACTTTGAGCAACAGTCGCAGATGGACATTATTCAGTTTGCCAACAACATGAACCAGCTGTTCAAGACGAGCTCACGGAAGTACTACCTGACGGCAGCGCCGCAGTGCCCGTATCCCGATGCCAATCTCGGCAACCTGCTGTCACAGTCACACGTCGATATGGCGTTCATACAGTTCTACAACTCTGGGTGGTGCGACAACTCCAAATACGGCCTGCCGCATTGGCCTGAGGTAAGTACAATGCTTCCGCGGTCAAGTATACATCTTGAAATGTCCGCTAACAGCCCTGTTTGCACGAATGTAGTCAATGAACTACTACATGTGGGACGCCGCATGGCACAACAGCAGCTTTGCCAACTCCGACATTCGCCTTTACGTCGGCTCGACCGCCGGATCTGGCGCCGGCAATCCGTCGTCGTATGTCAGCCCCGACTTTTTTGCCAACGAGTTGCAGGGGCTGCAAAAGGACTATCCAGATTCGTTTGGCGGCGCCATGACCTGGGACATGAGCTGGGCATACGGCCAGACGCCAAACTATGCAGCAAGCGCCAAACAGGCGATGATGGCCGGGTCAAAGTGCAGTAGCAGTCACTAGATATTCATTCGCTTCAATTACAACTTGTGCAGCGAATTGTAGTGCTCGCCCAGGCCGTATGCGTGGCGATGGTATGACAGGTTTATCGGGTCCTTGGCCGCGTACGCGTCCTCGCCTATCCGCAAAACTGGCACCCCCGACTGGTAGACGTGTACAGGCAGCTGCAACGCGTGCGCCAACGCCGTGATCTCCTGCTGGCCGCCCCAGGTCGCCGTGGTCTCAATGTCATCGCAATAACGTTCAAAATCCTCCTCGCTGAACATGTCACCGCTGTCGTGCACCATGAACGGAATAAAGTCATCGCAATGGCTACGCATGTATTCTGCAGCGCGCTGGCGCATCTGAGCATATGAGGCTGATTGGCCATGGTAGGTGCCAATCTGGTCAGCAAAAGCCGAGTACAGGCAGTGGCCGTCCGGCCTGATCTGCTCAATGCGCATGCCGTGCCCGGCGACCAGCTTCTCGATTGCCTCGGTTTCGACGGCAGCCAGATCAACCATGTCCTCTGCTTCAAGCTCGGCCTCGTCTTGCATCCGCTGGAGCTCCTCGGCTTTGCGCTGCTGGCGCAGCTTTGCCTTGTTTTTCTTGCCGGTGGGCTTCCTTGCCGAGCCAGTAAAGTCATACAGACCGCCTGTAGACACAGCGGTTGGCTCTGTGTCGTCGCCATTGCCGGCCGCTGCGAGTGCATCACCAGCGCCCATCTCACCGGCTGGCTCTGACCCGGACGCTTGGGCGCTAGTGCTGCTGAACTGGCTCAATTCGGCCTTGTGCCGCTCTTCGTGCTGCTTTTCCAGCTCGGCAATTTCGGCTGTCGCTTCCTTCTTTTTGCGTTTGTCGCCTTTGGGAACCGCCCGCTTGAGAGTGGTAACTCTGGCTACCAGCTCCTTGTTTTCTCGCCGATGCCGTGCCTGAAGCTCTTCCAGCGTCGTCTCTAAACGTGTGCTCATTCTTGCAAAATATAAAGCTGGAAAGTAAAGAAAAGTCACAGCGGAGCAAAAGAGGGATCAGGAGTGAGAACGATTGCGTTTACAGATCAACTCGCGCAGGCCGAACGCGACAACGTTTTTTTTTTCCTTCTTCAGTTTCATGTTTGATTAGGAGGGCATTGCTGCCGAGCGATTTGAATTTTGGAGAAATCGGTCGCCAGCTTGCGGAACGGAACCACTGAACATGACGAAACAGGACTCGGACCCAGTGCACCGCAGCAACAGCCCCGGCGCTGCTAGCGGAGCAGCAGCAGCAAATGCCCATGTCGCCTCTCAAACGGACGCTAATCGCTCACTTGCTCCGGCAGTGACAGACGGCGCGCTTGACGCGTCTGCTTTGTCAGCAGCCACGAGTATAGCT